AATTGGCTTGGCATGTTTTCACGGTTTAACGGTACCAGTAATAGTTATTTTATTTTATCTAGGTAACTTCTAGACATTTTATAAACATTGTGTTTTATTGTAAATATCAGCTGTAAATATGGACAGATCGAAATATGGGATCGCGACATAACGCACAAAGTATGTTTTGAAATGGTAAGCTCACAGACCAATTCTTTTATTAGTTTTTCCTATCTCTTGTGCCAGAGGGTTTTGGATCCATTTCCAGTATTGGAAAATTATATTGTTGCGAACAGTGTTTTTCTATTACTAAGGTACTAATAAAATTTAACCTGCTTTCTTATAGAAATAAAGATACTTATTTTTATATGATAACTTGGACCCGTGGAAGTAGCTTCATAGCTTTGTTCGGTTTGAAAGCATTGTGTAAAAATATGTTCTGAAATATTTATTCATTTACATTTGTTTATCAAAAGGATAAGATTCTGTTTAGCTTTCATAAGAGGCGAACCTAGAAAAGCCAAGCACATGTCCGATTATATCGATCGCTAAAAGTGAAAGCTCAAGCGAACCAATAAACCGGTCAGTAAGCACTCGATTACGGTCCATTGATAATTTTCTTCATTGCCACCGTGCAGTTCAACAAGTCACGGGTGTTGTAATTGATCAGTTTTATCCCAGCACCCCTGTTATCGGCGAAAAGGTAATTTCACAGAAACGAGATCAAGAACGATGTGCAGGTACAACATAATTTATGTAATACATGCTAGGTCAATGAAGGCAAATCTTTATCATGCTAGGTCAATGGAGCCGTTGGTAAACGGACAAACGAGACCTTGTAGTAAGTGATTAGGTACCACGGCCCATTCACAACATCACAGGAGCTGTCAAAAGTATGCCGGCATTTAAGGTAGGTAGGTAGGTAGGCTCTCTTCTTTAAGGTGCCTTGGTTATATCGCTGGCAAATATTCCACCGAGTAGGCAATTACCATATGCCGGCGTAAGAGTTAGGCACTGTAGTAACTACATTTTAATGTTTCTAGTATCAGAGTTTTGAAAAAGAAAATCTTACATGTTTTTTAATCATATTCATTACAAACCATCTACATAATAACAATCAATGTAATACCTTACCTCTACTTGCATGGGATTGATTTAATTAAAAAGTTTATGTAACATGGAATAATAACGCAAGTCCAAATAATAATGTTCATTATCTCGTTAATGAGATCTTAATTAAAATTAAGAACATTAATTTCTGTATTAATTAGGAAATACGATTCAAGAAATAATGAGGAGAATAATTAAGGTTGGTTTCGAAAAAAAGTGTGAGACCGGATTCAATTTGTGAACAAATATTGAGTTTTCAGTGAGGGATGAAGTGTCCGCGAAAATAAAAATTCATTCCAGTGCACATGCGGTTTAGTTATCATGTTGATTGAATTGTGGTGGAAGCGGGAGGAGAATGGGCAAAAGGGTCCATTATTACATTTCCATTAGCGCGTCACTTGCGGTGTTTGGTAATTTCATTTTTTTTTTCAATATTTAATCTGTGTAACGACTGCGCCGCTCAGATATGCGTATGAAAGGGAGGATCATAAAGGAGTGCACCGGAACAGATCGCACGACAATATCCTAATTCACTCGCGCGAATGTAATCCATTAGTGTTCCCTTCTCTGCCCTCCTCGGGGCACCCCCAGCCCCCCCCCCCCCCTCCTGCCCCCACCCCCGTCCCCGAAACCGTCTGTCATTCATAAACCTCCATATCATTTGTATTGGCACATGTTTCATATGACTAATGGACGGGGGGCACATTAAATACGGGGCGACATCTGCTTATTGCAATTTACAATATTATATCGGCATAAAAATCAATGCCATTCAAACATGTCGACGCCGGTCGGTGTTTGCAAATCAATTGTGCAAAGAATCTGTTTTTTTTTTTAAATTTCCTCTTGTCGCGAATAATTCCCATTTCCATCTGTTAATTAATTTCTACGTGGCGGCTGTGTATAATAACATCTCTTTAATTATGAACTCGCCACAGTTTCCACTTGGCGTCCTAGTTTTAATGGGTGTGCAATAAAACTTTGCGAAATTGTGTTTGTACCTTATTAATTATTAGGATAACGCTGTTATTAATTAAATTTTATTCGTAAGGACTTCTTACAAGTTTCAGTACATTAAAACTACATTCATACCAATGTAGCTATCTCGTGATTATATATCGACTTTCAAGCAAATGAACGTCGACCTTTTCAACTGAATAATGTATGTACATAAGTTAATACGACTTAAGCATTAATCAACTTAACCATGGAGATAGATAGAAATCGCGCTTTTCATTAAACATTTCGTCCGACTGTGTTTGCCCTTTCCCGGGCTTTAATATACTTACCTATTTACATAGACACCGTTGGATAACGTTTTCAGAAGAATTAAAGAAAGTAATCAGCGTTATTACGTCGGCTACTAAAATATGTATCCGTCATAAAAGTATGCGCCGACTTCTGTCGTGAATAAATATTCATTATAGCGGATCGCCTCGCGTTTTAGCGGGATTAAATGCTATTAACCCACGCGACGGGATGCTTTCAGCTGAATCAGTCAACTATGTACGGCATCCGTTGTTACGGACGCGTTGTTAAGGTTACCCTCTGTCGGCTTAAGGTTGGCCTTTGTAATTTATTGCAATTGATAACATGCGCGCGAGTTTTTGCGCAAAACGTGAGTCCAAATATTAAACATTCGTTTTTGATTGATGCTGAGAAGAGAGGGGTATGTTCATATCCTAGTCTGTCTTCACACAACGAGATTGCCGTTTTTTTAGATATCTTACTTGAAGCTGCTTATTTACATTTAGTGTCTGGCAATTGGCATACCGTCTTTTTGACGTTTTGGTATCGTTTTGCAATGATATTATATACAAACTCGTGGTATATATGACACTAGCACACTGAGACTGAGGCACTTGTGTCATATTACGCCAATTGTGTCCTCTATTACAATTCTATAGACCGCTATCTGTTTCATTCGTATTATACGTTCTATATATTATCTATCACTTTCACTTATAATGTTAAATGGAACAATTTCTAAACGATGCATAGTACCTATGGACGTGCGTCATCTTTATTATTTTTTATTTTTTTTATTTTTAGGACACATTTTTACACAACATTCTCTAGTCCTAAACTAAGCAAAGCTTGTATACTATGGGTACTAGAAAACTGATAAACATACTTAAACATACTTTTCTTTTGTAAATAAATATATATGATACATATATAAACATCCAGACACTAGAAAAACACTATGTTCATCACACAATATTTTTCCAGTAGTGGGGATCGAACCCACACCCTCTGGCGCAGGAGGCAGGTACACTACCGACAACGCCATTCGGGTCGCCAAATTTATTATTAAAACATCATTATCGTTTTGGTAAGTTTTTCGATGAAACTCGAAGAGGAAGATTTATGCTTTTGTTTGTTATTTATTTGTTCACTTCTTTATACTGTTAAAGGTTTTCCCGATACATAATTCTCGCATTAACAATTTTAGATGGAATGCTACTTATATCAGTTATATGAGATGATTATAACATACTAAGTCAATTGTAAAAGAAGTCATTTAACTGAGGTGTAAATGAATGTACCACGCATTAAATCAATGTATGCTAAAAATTAACATTGAATTTGCAGTTTAAAAATAAAGTAATCTATAAAACGTAACGAATTTCTAATTTCCATTGAGAAAAAGACGCAAGTATCTATTTACCACTTTAGCACGCATCTGTTCAGTTGTTTACGTCATTAGAAAAAAAATACGCAACTGTGGTAGGGCCACGCAACAGTCTTCTTTGTTGCACGAATGGGCAGGTCCGACGGAGTAAGTATCACGACCTCACTGAAAACGTGTGTGACGTGAAGAGGAGTTATACTTCTGCGTTTCATCTGGTGAGTGAGGTAGCCGAGACCACGTTGCTAATGTCAACGGTTCTGCCAGCACTCATATAAAAAAAAAACTAAATACATATCTAATGATAACTCCCATTCAGTCGTTACGGCGCTAATAGGGAGCAAAAAGACGAACATTCGCATTAAAACATCACTGCGAATTCGCTGCGTTAAAATTTAATGAAACCAAAAGGGCTAAGGCAGCGGATAACTCAAAAAGGGAGACAACCAACTTAGAGATTAGATCAGCGCGGTGCCGTCATCAGTCCGCTCAATATGTATGAGCCGTTGTAAACATTGCGAGCCCTAGCGGCCGCTAATTAATTGCTCAACTCAACAGTTCCAATTAAATCAAGCCTCGCTCCGGGGACACGCGATGGATCGCGCCATCCGACGATTAAGATCATTAATGCCGATCCAATCGTCCCGTTAGCGTTCAATGAAGTTATTAAACTGAGCACGGAAGCCTTCGTAGGTGCCGAGGGCTACAAGTGGGAACGGCGAGTCGTGTTTATATACTCCAATAGTGGTATTACCTAACACAGCTCTTTCTAGCACATTCTTTAGTACTCGAACTTGATTAGTAACATTTTAAACGTTATTGCCAGAAGTGGTTCTTGTTAGAACGTTACATGGAATACAATATTTTTAACAAACATTTTTATGTTCGAACGACACTTATGATGACGATCCGTAGCTTCTGTTTCAGCGATGTTAAATCCATACAACAATCCGAACCATAACCAACGAGCGGACGAGCACCGATTGTGGGCCTTTTCAGCGTTAAAAAATATCATAAAGCCGAGCGAGCGACCGCGAGCATTCTTCATTTTTATCCCTAAACAAATTTCCATTTGACTCGAGTTCGAAATTCAAAAGTGGCCCCATCGCGGCATAGTAACGAAATTGGCCACTAGAAACTAGTTGAGCCGAGTTCAAAACTTCCCTTCGCGGGCGGGGACGTTTTAATTACGACGTTTAAGTAAAAGCGGCGCCGAGCGTAGCCGAGGCTGCATTACGTGGATCCAGCCACCAAAAGCCTCCCACTTAGCTAATGAAACATGCTCGTGCGTAGTGTATTAAGCGTCGTCGCAGCCGGCGGGCCCGCGGCGCATTGTGAGCGCGGGCCGATTCGGCGGACCCGCCTCCGCGAATCCTCATTTACTTGCATTATTTTAATGGAGCCATTGTGGCCGGATGTCCTTTGTCGTGTGCAGACGCGGATCCGGCGCAGCGGACTGTGGGAAATGTGCCGGTGCATAAGTGCGCCGCCGCTGCCCCAGTCGGCCGCTCGCCTCGGAATTAAATGGCGGAAAGGCCCCGTTACTATTTGGAGAGTTTGAATGGACCCCTCCCCCCCGAATCCCCCCCTCCCCCGCGGTTAAAGCCACGATTGGAGGAGGCGAGGTCTATTTCGGCCGTGGCGTCCGTGGAATAGACACGACCGGTAAGCGATGTATCCATTAAACTAATTAACTGGGGCGAAGCACGCGGCGTTCGCAGAGATCCCCCGGACCTCTAATAACTGGCTTCCCTAATAAGCTAAGAGGTTGTCTTGCTTGTATAAAAAAGTAATCGCCGGAGCGGAGGCAGGCGATCTCGTTTAAACTTTTTGAATTTTCCACTCGCGCCGCGGTATTAATTTTAAATTGGAGACGAACACATAAATTCCGCCCACACGCTAGCGATTCGGGCTAATTAAAGTTTTTTTTTTGTTTACGAATACTTTCGTGGCACTGTTTCAATAGATAAATATATACAATAATTCTAACGTTAGATTTTTAAAACTCGTGACGTAAAATGTGTGAAAAATTTTGAAAATAAACTTGAGCTGTTTTCCTTCACCACCGATCACGTTTTGTTAAACGAACAAAATGTCTGCATCAAGCCTGGCTGGCATTAGAACATTCAATACGAAACTATAATTAGTGCCACTGATTGTAGATGAATAAATGTATACTTCGCATTGTAGACAAGATAATTGTACAGATGAATGAAAAAGAGTATAGAAATGACTATCAAACATGATAGCCCGTCATTTTTGTCGTACTGGTCGATCGATCATCAACATTCGGTCACGATTTGTATTAATTCCCGAACAGCGGATTATCTAAACCACCATCGTTATAGCTGAACTGGCCACGGAGTCTGTATAAATGAATAAATTAAACACTAATTTCTTGACATACTTTACACGAAGCGGTTCACCTTGCCCGTAATTGCTGCAATATTATATTTATAAATTTCTAGATTCTAGAACGGCTTAGTTACATTTACTTTCTGACCTTTCAGATTTATAATAAAAAAGTAATGAAAAAGGTCAGCATTAAGGAAAAACGTGAATATATTTAACATTCAAGTTACTAAGTAGTTTAACGTTCGAGATAATTTTATCGTTGCGAGTTTAACTCCAATGCTCAACTCAAATGCAGTAATAAGATGTATATTTCATAACTTTAATGACTAACTAAAGTGAACATATCGGTTTGTGCTCAGCTAATGAAAATTGACAGTAAGAAATCGATCAGAATTTTTTTTTAATGTGAAAGTTGGCCAGCGAACAGACGATCCACCTGATGTTGAGTGATATCCACCGCCCATGGACATCTACAACACCAGAGGAGTTGCAGATGTGCCGCGGCTACTACTCACCAGACGTATAACTTCCACGCCGATCTCCTGTGAGGCACGGCCTCCCCGGATGAGCCTGCCCGTTCGTGCAACAGCCGAAGCTGCTGAGTGGCCCTACCACGGTAAAATTAACTAAATTTGTCGCTATAAACGGCTGTTCTTACGCTTTTAAAGGTGCGCTGCCTAAACAGTGTGGTTTTCATTATTTACATCGTTACTCGGAACGTGTAATTAGTGTGAAAATGATTAAGGTGCGAGCGGCCGGTCGTTAGCAACACGCGAGTAGCGGGTTCGACGTCCTGGCGGCTCTCACGAAGGGCGCCAATTGTTTCGACCAAAAATGAACGGTCGCATGTTACAGCGGTTCTCGATTTTTTAATGAGAGAAAACGATTTTAAATGCCCGTAATTTTATAATTGGTTTTGTGAAGTTTTTGCTTTATTTGCTGTCATGGGCCATATTGAGATTTACAATACGCGTTCCGAATGTTTTTCTAGCTGCGATTACAACCGCTATGTGACGAAGTCGACGTTTATACGGTAAAATGTAATTATTTAATAATTTAACAAAACTATAATAACAATAAATCGAACAACTTAAGTAGGACAATAATCCGGTTGATTATTGTTATATCAAAACTATTTTGTAATAATAGAAATAAGTTGAATGTTATGAATATTATTAACTACTACAAACTTTTTAATGATTTTATCGCGTTTAAGTTTTTATTAAACTCCGACGATACTAGATTCGACTGCTTAGCATGCCCTGTGACTTGCTTAAATATTCTTACTAATATTATAAACGCGAAAGTTTGTTTGTATGGATGGATGTTGTTACTCTTTCACGCAAATACTACAGAATGGATTTTAATGAAATTTTACAATAATATAGCTTATACATCAGAATAACACATAGGCTGTGATTTATATACATATTTTAATGTATATCTGTCTTTGTGTCTGAATATTACGCCTTCAGCCTATTCTACGCAGAAGTAGTCGCGGGCAGCAGTTAGTAATAGATAAAATCGGTAAAACACTTTAATTAAATAACATATACTATTCGTGTAAACACAAAAAATCAATACTAAACATTAGACGTTTAGCTTTGAAAGCATTCACATACTTATACTAGCTAGAAGCGAATCTAAAATAACTTTAACCTTAGATATAGACAGCTCGGACGAATGATGTCAACTTTCGAATATCGTAAACCGGGAGCGATCAAAGTAACAGATCGCGTGCCGCCGCTCGGGGCGAATTGAATTAGATTGACAATAGATAGACGGTAGAGCATCAATCAAACTGTCCAAAGTAGCAAAGCGATACCAACTGCTGAACTAAGAACGTCGAGTCGCGAACACTGGTCTGTTGCTCATTAAAGGCTTTTGATTAACCCGACCGAGTTGAGAAGCCGGCTGTCCGGCGCAGCGTGTTGGAGCACCGAGATCAGAGGAGCCGGACCTCGCCCGAAGCCAAGCCTTTGTGGGGGGATTCCCAAAGCGGACGGGGCACTTTGATGTCGGGCGGGGCAGGTAATTCGGAAAAACGTTATTTAATTAACTTTCGACAAGTCTGTGTAATCGCGTTACAAAGCCGCCGGGCGGTGGAGCGGTCTTTGTGCCGGCGGCGGCCGCGCGCACTTGATTTTTACGCCGAACGTACGCAATAAAGGCGCTGTCGCTTTCAGGTGTTTCCCAATTAACATCGCGCCTTTGACCACGGCCCGTACGGGGTGAGTGCCGGGCACTTTGTTATTATAGTTAACAGTGTTCGCGTTAAAGAGTCGCCCCGTAATCGACCCTTTGTGTTATACTGCTGCCAAATAATTGCATATCACCGATGATACCTACGCAGTAGACGCGATATGGACACTCGAATGCTAGTTGGTTAGCGGGACCGAACAATAGTTTTACGAGTTGCCGAAATAAGTTTCGCAGTGTTTAAACTTTGGAATTGGTTAGCAGTGCATTTTGCTAGATCGCCGTGAGCGAATCTAGCGCCGGCGTTGGGAGGAAAGCCGCCCGCGGCCGTTGGACGGTGGTCGCCTCTACGAGATAATTAACTCTATGAACTATCCCCCTACACGAGTAGAACAGCAATAAGATGTTTCGCTTTTATAATCTTTGGGAGCTTCTAAAATTATACGAATCTCATGATTCGGTTGATGGAATATTCCACTACACAACACTTCAGTGCCGTCCCAACTTGTTTAGTTACGAGTGAGCGCGTTGCAAATAAACAAGTACCTTTTGTACGGTGTTCATTGTACTGTCTAATAGCATTTACTGGCATTTATATCTGTAACGTAACGTGCGTTCGATGAATGGCTAACAGGATTAGAAGACTAAATTATTTAAACATTTTCTCTTAAGAAGCTTAAGACCAAAATATGTTAATGTTAGAAATTGCTATATCGTTAATTGCGTGTTTTGTATTGTTAATTGTTAGTACACAATAAACCAGTAAGCAGCAATTAATTGTCAATAACGAAACTCTATTTTTGTAGATTTGTTTCTTATTCTTAAAAAAGATTTATAAATAAGTTTAATTCCGAATGGTTTCAATTGTACCAAATATAGGGCAATCGACTGAGCTCCCTGTCTGTTGCTTATTCGTTTTTTCCATAACTTGCAACATAAAGCGCTCTGATTTTAATCGCTAATTGCTTTAAAAGATCACATGTTTTGATTTATTTTCTTGCCATGATATAAAACCTTCAAATAATGAATACCTTTAAAATCGAAATTAAAACAGAAACAAACCGAAAAGAAAACACGTTACTCTATTAAATAAAGAAACACCTTAAGTACTTCTCAATATGTCCAATAACTTTCTTCCCTTCACAAAGTGTTTTGTTAATAGCCCCGCGTTAAAGGCTTTCGCGTGTACCTCAAATTCTCGCTATTAAATGACCTCACGTGCCCACGTCCAGTGTAATGGTTGCATTAATTTCTCCGTGCGGAGTGCACCGTTTCCAATGTGCCTAGCGGTAATCCGGGCTGTGCATTTGGCGAGCGCAAATGGTCCGCCCGCACCCGCCGCGTCTTCATCCCTCCGTGTCGCCTATGGTTCGTGAATTTTTAACATCCCCGACAGCACTTGCACTCGTCCGCGGCCGATTTAAAATAAACTCCCTCGCATATCACGAGCGACAGCGTTCGGTGGTAGTTGAATCTCCATCTGATCCATTAGCTGCTTCATACGAATTAAGCGACATTGCAAGGGATATTTCTTTATCGTTAGATGAGGTCTCCTCATAGTTACTTAATTCGTATAACATTGTGCGCAATCGCATTCCTAAGTACGATGCAAGCTTGTCTGCGCTTGGTTGCATTTGAACTGGATTCAATTCGGAACTCAGCTTCGATTTAGAGGGAGGATAAATAAAGAGACGTAATAAAAATAATTAGTATGGTGCGCCTCCTAGTAGTTATGTAGTAAAGCGCGATAGGAAGATAAGTTAATATTTTAAAAGACGAATTATTCGACAGAGAATTACGGTGGTAGGGCCACGCAGCAGCCTCGGCTGTTGCACGAACGGGCAGGCCCGTTCGGGTAAGTACCACGACCTCACAGAAGACCAGCGTAAAGTGTAAGTATGACAAATACTTTCGCGTTTCGCCTGGTGAGTGAGGTAGCCGGAGACCAATTTTTAAAAAGCTGTCAACGCATCTGTAACCCTCGGGTGTAAGCAGATGTCCATGGACGACGGTATTCACTTACCATCAGGTGAACCGTCTGCTCGTTTGGCAACTTTTCGCATAAAAAAAAGGAAAAGGAAGAAATATATATCTTATCTTAGGTCTTACCCTGCGCTCGGCATTCAATTAATATTGATTTATTTTCAATTTATAAATTTCAACAGATCAGATCTATAACAAAAATCGTTATTAATTCCTTGCTGCACCTACCATAAGCTATCACTATATTCTGGGTTGACTGGGTACATTTATAGCTTTTTGTATTTAAGGTTAGCAATAAAGCATAAATAAATAAAAAAAAAACTTGAAGGAGTTCCTTTAAAAAATTCGTATCCGTCGAATGCAAATCGTGACTTTCGTAATTGTACAAAAAAAAAACAAATATGTCAAAAACTGGCGCGAAAGCCGATAGCATCATGGCCATCCTGAAAGTAATTTAAAGGTGATTGGGCATATGCTGTTCCGTTTTTATTTGTCGGTACGGCTTTACGAGGTGCGTTACTTTTATCGCTGTATAGTTGACAATGGCGGATTACGCGGTATATTGGCGATATCTGGCCATCTATGGTTCATTAAACTGTAATCGGCTGGAAATTAGGTTCTGTGGCACGTATCGGCTTTTTATGTTGTTTATGTATTGCATTACAGGCTTTCGTGCTTTAACGGTATTGTTGCCGAATTTTTAATCTGCGGAAAATTGAGTGAATTTTTTTTATTAGTATTTTTGTATTAGTAGTATTTTAGTTAGTTGAGTTTTTGGAACAGTTTTTATGATTTGTTTTTTTTTTTTATTTATATCATGACATCACGTCTTACAGCCTTCTAGAATTGGATAGGTTTTCTACTACTTAACTGTACTCGGACGGGCATCGCAGCTTTGTATAAAATAAATAGTATACTCGTAAACAAACTGCTTAGCACCGATATAACGACAGTCAATTTGGCATTGCTGAAGGGCCTGGAGTACAGCAAAAATTTCACCAGAATCTTGGTATAGTTCGCAATACAGTCCGCAGAGCGACACTGAGCTGGCCGTATAGGTTTTAGAACCGATAACAGATGGGAAAGAAAGGTTCTCGAGTAGCAGCCTCGTATTGGCAAGTATTGGTAGGACGATCCCTACAAGATGGAGTGACGACCTGTGCAAATGTAAGGGAAGTGAATGGGTGCAGGTGCAGTGGCTCAGCAATATTCTTTGGGGCAATCTGTGGTTCTCTCATGTTCAGCAGTGGATTCAAACAGGTTGAAATGATGACTTAGATATTTACCTGAAATATTTATAACACGTTAATTATATACTTTTTTTTCTTTGCATTATTATAAGGTATGATACATATGCTATATTAAAAGTCCCTGGACATTAATTCAAAAAATTTGATGGCCTTTCTATTCGTTTTACTAAAAAATATTTATAAAGAACATCACATGCCACTTGCTAAATTTAAAGAGAACAGTTCTTTAATAAAAAAAAGCTACGTCCGGTATATATTTAACTGGAGTATAAGTTTTAGGCCGCGATTGTCACTATTCAGCTGAACTACTTGCTTAGTTCCCATCCTTTACAAATATTAAAAAAAAAACTATCGGTTTTAAATATAATATGGATGATGCACGGTATTTTCCAAGGCAGTTAACTGTATAGCTCAATCGTCGGTTAAAAGTTAGAATTATAGTCATAACAGTCAAGGAAAAAAGCATTAACGGCGAGGTATCAGACTGTCCGTGCATGCGGTCCCAAGTGTTAATCAAAGTCATTCTCAAAGGCTGGTAGGCGATAATTAGCGTTATTAATTAAGGTATTTCCCAACGCAATCGCGGCCCAGTCACGACACGCGAGTGTTAATAATGGCAGCAAAGGTCAGAGCCAGCCCGCCCACAACACATGCCTTGGACTTTGCTCCTATGTGATATTTGAAACAATGTAGCGTCTTAATAATTTAATTATTGTAAAAGGCCGAATAAACACCAAAGTTATAGCCGTGATTGTGTTGAGTATCTCGGTAGATATACGACATATACTGCTTGGTTTGTACGGGATGGGTTCGAACATATTATTTTGTGTTTATTGTCATGTCAATTTTTTAAAACGATCTTGCTCTAGTAAAGTGCTTACCATCTTATATGACAGTAAGTGTTGGTAGTTAGGACCCATTGTTTTTGTCGTGGATTTGAACATTGAGCCTAGCTTCTGATATTGCATAGAATTAAAGTAAAGTTTAATTACTCATTTTAAAAAGAATCAACGGCGATAATTAAATCGGATATCTTGTTTAGAAGATAAAATATATATTCATTACGATACTGAATAAATTGAAGCAGCTGTAAATTGCATGCCGAATATGAATATCATTATTTTAAGAGCCAGACTGTACATCAATATTAAAATGGTTTATTATTAAAAATTCCCTCGTTGTATTACAACAAAATGTATTTTTATATTACGTGTAATATAAAAAAGAATTCTCTTTGCAATTACAAGCAATTGCAAGTTAGGTAACTTTACTAAATAATATTTTTGTGTGAAATTTAATGTTACAAAAGTGAAATAAGTACCTAAATATTTATTAATAACATGCTGTAAGAAGCAAAGCTATAGTGCTGTAATGCTACTGTACGTTATTGAGTTTTTCATTGACTTTTTGCTAGTAACAATCACCCATTTGACATGATCCATGTTCCGACTCAAGTCTAGGCTTTGTCCGCCTTACAAGTATTGAAGTAACTAAAGACTTTTATTGAGACTGCAGCACCAAAATCATTACTTTTCTAACACATTATCAAAGGAACTAGATGAAACGAGTTTGACATTTTGTTGTTCATTAAAACTTATGGTTTTCAATAGTAAATGATTATGGCTTGTACAAGATAATGAATGTTACGGATAGTCGAGATGGAAAAGATATAAATACAAAGGGTACTAAAGATAGATAAAGATTGGCTAACACTGACCTCCTCGTAGTCCCGGTGCGAGTTGGTCGGGGCTCATTCGCGCGAACGGCGCGGGCGCCCCACCTTGCCCTTGCGCAGCGGCGCCCCAGGCCCGGGCGCAGCGCTGGCGCTCTTCATCAGCTTCTGCCAGTCCTGCTCGCACACCAGCGACCCCGCCAGCATGTAGTACCTGCGCCGTTGATAGACGTGTCTATATTTCTCAATAATTTCCCGTGATGTCTTCTTAGACATCGGACACACACATTACGAATGCGTTTGTAATGTGTGTGTCCGATGTCTAATTTGAAGCCTCGTAAATCTTCTGGTGTGACGCATTTGTAAGCCCTCTGGTGCTGTAGTTGTCTATGGGCGGCGGTGATCACTTACCATCAGGTGAGCCTTCTGCTCGTTTGCCCCTTTTTCTCCATAAAAAAAAGTGATGCCCTTGTTCATGAGTTGTTTTTATCGCAGAAAATTGTTTTTTTGTAAATGCGTCTTTATGTTAGATTATAGGGCTGAATAGGGTGTATATTTGGCTGTAAGGTCTTTTAACCAGGCTCCTCAGTAGTAGGAGTGTAAGAGGAATACACTGAACTTCATCAAAGCTAGTAAAATAACGTTTTGAATTGTGGAAATGTCATCAAGAGCGAGAGAGACGAAATGTCATACAAATCTGTCCTAATTTTTTTCCCACACCGACGTTCGATCTGTAAAGGGGGATTAAAATTTCAACATGTCTTCCGCTTTTATTTTTGTTACTGTTACATTTTCGTTTATATTTCGGAAAGCAGCAGGATTGAACAGTATTGGGTTTATATAGAAAAATATATAAAGGTGCAGCGAGCTATTTCTAAAATTAGACTTAAAGCGCTTCGTTATGCCCCATCATAGCTGTGCACATGAAATGATATACTAACTCTGCAATGTACCATGAGAATAAAGCCTTGATTGCTTGCTTGTAAATACTTGTTTCTTCAAATACATTATTATACCTTGCTACTTAATCTGAGGTATTATCCAAATTAACTGCTAACTGTTAACCGATTAGTGAACGGCGCGTTAACTGTATTCCTAAATAGATTGTTACTTTCTTTCCTCGACATTATTGTTTTTGAACCGTATATTGTTACAGTCAGGAAAGTAGAGTCAGCGTTGTACAACTTAGACCGCTCAACCTAGCTGACGCGATTTGCGATTGAGGTAACTTGATCATACAAATTATTGAAAACACGTCGGACTCGTGCGTCAAAGTGAGCCGATGTGAAAGTCTGACAGGTAATGCCCGGTTCCTATATTCAAAGGACGACCGTTAGTTATATAGCTTCGTAACTTTCGTAACGACTTTAAGATTAAAGGAATGCTAGTAACTCACTTTCCGTTGGTAATGCAACGGCTCGTAAGGAAAACGCCTCGTTTTGTTAATATAGGAACCGGGCGTACACGCCTTTTATCTACAAGTCGTTATGAAAGTTACGAAGCTATGTAACTAACGGCCGTTCGTTGAATGTGTGAAGCGGGCATTAGTAGAGGTAGATGGCGTTACCTGTCGCCCTGCATGAGGTGCGAGCCGCACTTGGAACAGGCGAAGCACTTTATGTGGAAGACGTGGAGGGGCTGCTGCGGCGCGCTGGTGCGCATCACGAACTCGCTCGCGGGGATCGCCTGGCCGCAAGCCGCGCACGCGCCGCTCGACCCGAACATTCTGGAACAATGGCGGAACCGGTCGGCACTCTGGTGAAATTATCCTGTTATCCTTTTGTATTACGAGAACAGTTACAATCCAATGACCCTTTCGGAACGCAAGAATATAAAGGATTGATGCAGCAACGTCATGTTCTGATACTTCTCGTTATCTCTTTGTGTTACAGGAACGGTTATTTTACAGAAAGCTGTTTGTGAAAAATATATAAGAATAGCAACATAACTCTGAGATGTAGACATTCTTTAACTTAATTAATATACTCGTAGATGTCTCTACGAGTATATTAATGTTATTAAGTTGAAGAATGTGTTTGTTTGAACGCGCTTATCTCTGGAACTACCTACCAGTCTGATTTGAAAAAAGAACTTTTCCCTTTGAAAGATGCTACTTGTGGAATGTTATAGGATATTTACCATCACGCTACAACGTGCGGGGCGAAGCCAAAACGTTTCTTGCGTATGAAGTCGCATGAAACACCTAGTGTATTTATAAGCTTTTACAGCTTAATTAATATTATTGCGTTTTATACATAATGCTATTTTTATAAATCTTTTTCATTCATATAATTTTTAAAACAAGTTATTTCGTCATTTATATGCTAGAAATTTACTTCCAAGTGAGATTAACTTTACTAAAAATTCATGTCAACGAAATATTATATGCATGGTAATGTTTTCCTCACGTTTTTCCTTCATGATAGTTTAAGTGCGATAACAAAAAACCGAAGAAGTTTCACCGATTTCATTCCACGCTTAAAGTCGTTGAGAAAACATAGTCGAAGCGACGGTTCCACAGTCAATTAAATAAACTGCGACGCGCCGGGCCTCTTCTCGTTTATCAGATCACTCGAGAATGTTAAATTTCATGTCAGCTCCGATGCTTAGGCGGCGGCAACAATTTTAACAAGCGGGGCTGCCACGATTATTGCTCGTTAAACTTTGATAAATGGTTAATAAAGCAAAGTAACGACGTTTGCAATAAATCAATTGGAATGGCTCACGGGTACAGATGTTAATACGTGGTTGGCTGAGTTTGGAGTGAACTTGCGGATATTGTACTCGGGTAGTTGCACCCCCGGTATATTGGCAGTCATTAAACAGCAACGTTCTCATTTCGTTTCGAACCTATGTCGAACACATAAAAGAACTCTTGAATTACTTCAAAAATTAGGAAACTTATGACGGTATTGGACATAGAAAGTGGAGAAGATTGAAATTAGGATGTGGCTTACTGTATTTATTTATTTCTTTTTAACTCTTAACAGCGATAAAACTATCGTACGTAAACGGTTTGCAAGAAATCGATTACATGTGAAAAATATTTGTATTTGACAATAAAATGTGACACATGGCTGCAACGGTTTGGACGGTGGGTGGATATGGGGTTCGATTCCCCGAGGCCCGCACCTGCACTTGCCCGACTCTCAGGGCAGTGTAGAATACCCCGGTGTGTGTATGGTAGGTGGCGTTTTAATGTTAATTGAAAGATTAGTTTTATATCATACTTAATTTTATTGGTCCGTTTATGGATTCAATTTTAAAATGGATTACAGCCATGATGAATTTAGCTTAAGTTATATTTTAAACGAGAGAGTTATGAAGAAGGTACGTAATTATAATTGCAAACTGTTCTAGGTAAAGAGTTCTGATCATATAATTTGACATGACAAAGACTAAAAGTTTCACATCTATGTATAGTCGTAGATATCTATAAAAATTAATTACACTCACGACGACTAACCTTAAATTGTCTACGTTGTATTTTATAAATCAGGATTGACACATTTCAGGGATTTAAATTTTTATAGTGCTTATCTCTACACTTGATACACTAATTTTTTTTTAAATGCACTAATTCATTTTCTTGATGCGGGAATCGAAGCCACGTCCTCCGGGTTCGCGCCCAGTCTAGGGCATAAACATAGATGCGCCGAGCATAGCTTAAAATGCGAAAAAATGTGAAGGTTAGAAAAATACGGTGAGATTTTCGGTGTGGCAATTAGTCGTTTATTTTTCTACCATTTTATTGATTTCAGGGATCTTAGCCTGGCAGTGGGAAATAGTCAGAAAAATTTAACTAAAACATATTCACCGAGTTAAGAAGAAACATTACGTCTTATGATCAAGTGTTGCCATGACCGATATAATAAAGGTAAGCGATTTCACAAACGGAACGTTATAAAAAGATGACGGATTCGTTAGTGTATTCGAAACCGTCAAGATTTACGGTTAGCAACCTTGGCCGTTAAACGTACTTAGTAATACAAAAGGTTACGGGAACTAAATTATTGCTTAACGTTTATCCACCGTAAGTTTACTTGATTTTTTTTAATCTATTTGATTGATGTAATGTGGTAAATCGCGCTGGAACATGTCCATAGCCACAGTAACATTTTTGAAGCCGATGTTGGCTTTTAATAGCCTCATTTAATACTTAATAGAGTAATTATTGCAGCCGCTATTAGCGTCGCAGGCCGGTTTGAGTTATTTACAGCTCGCTGAATATTAATAAATCACAACAACAATCCGGCAAAAGCAATCAAAATTTAATAACCTGCGCTTCTTTGCTTTATTCGCATTACGATAATTTCAAACGAGCGCCGGCGATGGCTCGAAGATAAATTTGAAAGTCTTAAAAGATAAATTCACTTCAATCACTCGCAGCAAATGGGATTTCGTTTCATTTACTCCAGTAAGAGCGTTTTCAATTAAGGAGCGCCCGACAAACAGTAGGTATCGGCGTATGAAGGTAAAATTAATTAAACCGAGCCAAGACAAACATGTACGAATCTATTTGTGTTGGACGCTCGCGGGGAGCGGTGCCCGATACAGGCCGTGTGAAGATGTCTTGTGCGAGATAAAAATAATATTAAAAACTCCGCGACAGTCCTGTTTATTACATCATCACCGCTGGCAAATTGCTTTATCGTCATAAAACGCCATTTATAGTTTGGGGAACCAACGCGTTTGAAGAAACAAAGCTTCGAGTGTGGTCGTGTTTTGATTAGCTAATAAAACTCTATATTCTAATCCTGTCTCATAGGCCAGCGTTCCATGGCTTTATTTTAAAATCAAACGTGAAAATGCTGATTGTACATTAAATAAGTAATGCCTTTTAAATATTAGACATAAATTACTGAATGTTATGTTATTATATGTGGCACAAGTTATGAAGAATAACCAACGAATGAAGACGTAAAATACATATAAGTACTTACGTGCTCGCGACGTAATACATTAAGATACTTCCTCTCGCCCGTGAAATTTCGTAACTTCAACGAACTTCCAACGAACTTTTTAGGTCCTTAGAATACTCGAAACTGATAAAAGGTCTTAGTTTTGCACCTTTCATACGCTATAGATTCGTAATTTTATTTACGCGATGAGAGTTGATTACGGATTCTAATCGGGAATAACTTTTAGGTTTCCTTTCACGGCGATAATTAACGTGTGTATATTTTGAGAATTCGATGAAGGGGGAAGTTTGTACCGTTCGCATACAAGTACAGACTAGCCAAAGTTTACTTGCTGTCGGTACGTGTAAAATTGAATACGACGAATCCTCATTAATTTAAGACGGGGACCGTATCTTGACATGTTATTTTATTCATTACGGGAGCGTCTCGAGTCGCGGCGTTGTGTGTTGATTGTTGTGAGGAACATAATTTAAAATCTCCCGGCGGGATCATTAGCGGAGGGATTCCGAATGTAGGATGACAGGACACTTTGTCCGTGCCTCCATGTTTTTAACACGAAAGTATATTAAAAAGAGCGTGCATAGGTCAATTGGCACCGCACATTCATACGAAATAATTATAATTTTTGACCGTTCCTTAAATTGTTACAAATGGAAATTTTAATTCAATTTTACAAATAAATTATTCATGAGCTTTCATTACATAGCTTTCAAGTTAATATCGTTTAATAAGACTTAGAAGAGACGGAACAAATTAAGTAGGCCTGTCAGCGTTTTGTTATAAGCGCTTATGCGACCGTATTGTCCCCAGCGCTGATACATCTGGATTGTATTTTATCTGTTGTTAACTGCTATACCTTAGAACCTTATGTTACCAGTATACAGTATATATACAGTATGTTTCTAACGGTGGTAGGGCCACGCAGCAGCCTCCGCTGTTGCACGAACGTGCAGACCCGTCCGGGTAAGTACCACAACGTCACAGAAGACCAGCGTAAGTGGAAGTATGAAAATTGCTTTCCCGTTTCGTCTGGTGAGTGAGGTAGCCGGAGCCCAATTTTCAAAAGGTTGTCAACGCATCTGTAACCCTCGGGTGTAGCAGATATCCATGGGCGGCGGTATTCACTTAACACCAGGTGACCCGTCTGCCAATTACGAATCTTAAGGAAGGTATCGCCACATTATATATTTATAATGCCCGTAGTGGCAGGTACTACGGATATGACCGAATTCGGTATACTGAGGCGAAATATTTTATGTTCTTTGATTTAGAAAGCCATCGACGGAGTATAGCCTACTAGGCTCATCAGTAAATTCAAGCGTTGCGCAGATCCGTATTCCGCACTCAGGAATATCTCTCTTCGTGCTGCGTACTAACGTATCTACAGGAACGTTGTCGTCAGCACAGCTTTGGAGATAACTTATACCGTATTAGGGATATAGCCGCTTCAGAGTGAAATCACGTAGTAGACAGTTTCCAAACGAGATGCAATCTTATCAAATTAAAATAGAATAAGTATCACCGTACGTGCATGTTTAAAGGTTCGTAGCTGGAGGACCGCGCTTTACTCGGTTTTTTTTTTTTTTTTTTTTGTAAATCGTGTGTTTTGGAAATTACATTTAGATACAAATTACTGAGTAATGAAATATGCATAATATTTTTCTATCTTACCGACGTAGTACTAAGAAAATAGGATCTGGTATTTTTCACAAAAGAAAGAACTTTAAAAAAAAAGGGAAAAAAAGGAACAAAATCATCTGGATCGCACCCGAATCTACGCACATACTAAATTTGAATGAAAAT